CTTGCGGCACGTGACGATACATTGATGTGTAAAGACACGAAACGATCAGTCTGTGCAAGAAACTGAACAGTATTTATATAGTTTTTTTTACCTCTGATTCACCGCAATGTCCGAACTGTCCTGAGCGCGTTCGCGTCTTCTTCAGCCTGCGCGTGAGGCGTCTTCTTCTTCTTCCTGAACCAGTCTGGCCAAGCGAGGCCCTTTTTAGGCCCAAGATCCATGACCTCAGCCAGCCTTTATGAAAGACAAGATCTACCTATTGAAGAATTGATAGAAAAAGACATCCCAGATTGTACTTCAAATTTGATCCCTCCTACCCTGCGAATTTCAAGCCCCGGGACGCCCTCGTTGCTTAGAACAAAGCGATAGAAATTGTTCCCCTGCGCTGCGCTGGGACGGCTCGCGGGTGATTCCCGTTTATATCATTATGCAGAGGTTCAAACTCCAGTCCGAACACCACTGGCCACGAGCTTTGGGCTCTGCTCTCACTGCACAGCGGGATTAGCGCTGAATAGCGTGGTAAAGAAAGTTGCAGTTCAGGATATAAGCAGTTAATAAGATTATGCGATATGTGATCGTTCCGTAACTCCCCAACCGGACCTCACCGGACAATGGCACCTTTTTAGTTACACCCAGCCTTTATACGGAGAAGAAAATGCCATTGCCATCGAAACTTTTCTCAAGACAGTTCCCTTCAGTGATACATTAATATAACCCCAGAAATGTAATGCATTTTTGTACTTATTTTACTGTTATTTTCGGGATCTACTGGGACAGTGATAAAGACACACGCTCCGAAGCCTCGGCACAGAACGTAACATCACTACCGGTCGTTTCATGTCTTTACACATCAATGTATCGTCACGAGCCGCAGGGTTTAATTTGGTTTTGTTTGTGTATGTTTTTTTGACTCTCAAAGCCGTGATTCCCATTCACTTCTATTATATGACTGACAGACTGCAACGGTTTGAGTTAAAAATCTTTGTTTGTGTTCTACTGAAGAAACAAAGTCACCTACATCTTGGATGCCCTGGGGGTAAGCAGATAAACATCAAATTTTCATTTTTGGGTGAACTATCCCTTTAAATATAAATTTTTGTCATCATTTATTCACCCTCATGTTATTCCAAACCTGTATGTGAACATAAGGAATTATCTCACATATACTCCAAAGGTGAGGTTGGATTTCTTGCTGAAGACAGAAGGATCAATGTGGCTGTGACTCGTGCCAGACGCCAGCTTGTGGTAGTGTGCGATTCTCAGACTGTTCGAAACCATGACTTCCTCAAATCCCTAGTGGACTATATGTCTGAACATGGAGAGGTTCGTACTGCCTTTGAGTACCTGGAAGACTGTGTGGCGCAGAATTACATCCGTGACGAAAAGGACAAACAGATCAACAGCAAAGACGCTGCGTCTACAAAACAGAAGTCCAAGAACCAAGGCAAGAAAACAGAACAAGAACAGAAGAAAAGTGCAGCCAACAAAAGTAGAGGACTGAATCAGTCCAATGTTCAGCTTGACCAACATAAAAACACCAATTCACACCATCCTAAACCCAAAGATGCCGATCAGACACAAAATAAGAAAAAAGAGATAAAGGAACAACTTCTGAACTTTCTGAAAGACCCAAACAAGACAGAGCTACAGTTTCCTTCCACGCTAAATTCTCATGAGCGTATGCTGGTCCATGAGCTCTCTGAAGAAATGGGTTTAAGGCATGAAAGCCAGGGAGAAGGGAAAAACCGTCGCATCACTGTGTCCCGGCCCCCATTAGAACCGGACAAGTCAGTGGAGCCCGAACAACCAGACGTGACTGTATGTACAGCAGCGAAGCTACAAGATGAGTTACAGAAAGGACCCTCAAAGTCAGCTGTGGATCTGAAAAGCCTGCATTTGGAGCGAATGTGCCGGGAGCAGGAGAAACGAGAGGAGAAAAAGCAGGAAAAACAACAGCGTGTGAGACGGGAACTGAATCCCAATGCAAGTAAAAGCCAGTCTGTTAAGAAACCCAAAGGAACTTCAAAAGGTTTGTGTTTTATATCCCAATTTCTGAATCGTTTCAATACTTTCATTCTGTTACACTTCATAGTCAATATGTGTTTCTTTCATAGGAAACACTAAGATAAAAGCAGGAGCCACAGATATAGCTGCAGGTGCCATGCCAGATGACAATTTTGATGCTCTCATCAATGCTGTGGTTAAAGCCGACAGCGTTTGTGGTTTTGTGAAGTGCAAAGCCAGTGTCCTGACACTAGGGCAACTCTGCCTCTACTGTAACAGACAATACTGTCTCAGTCACCATATACCTGAGGTAACTTGCTTTTTATTTTATATTACAGGAGTCATATCATGAAGAACCAAATTTTGCTTTATTTTTTTAAATAAGTGTTCATTATAATATGAAAGTAGACTGTAGCTTTCAGAAACATGACCTTTACAGTCATGATGTAATACAGAGCACGCTGGTTAGATGCTATTATTCATAAACACCAAACACTCAGTGCTAGAATCAAGTGGCTCAAGTTCTTTTTAACAATGTTCTTGACCATTTCAAGTGCTTTTTCTCATTTCACGAGTGAAAAGGGTGTTGACATCAGAGTTTTAAAGGCTTGCTAACAAAAAATGTCAGCGTAATGGTTGAAAATAGTCATTAAAATATATTATAAAATAATAAAAAAATGTATGATATGACCTTTAAAACGTGTAAAACATTTAAACTAAAAATATTTTGATGCAAGATGCGTTTGAAATAAAGTATTGTCTTTTTTTAGGTGCACGGATGTGGAGACAAGGCAAAAGCTCAAGCTAGAATGAGGATAAGTAAAGAAGGGGTGCTTTATGCAGGAAGTGGACAGAAGGACAAATCAATAGATCCAAATAAAAAAGCATATCTGCAGAGAAAACTAGACTCTAAACTCGATGATATGGCATCTCAAAGAAAAACTAAAGCCAAAGACAAAGAGAACTGACATTCTAGGAGACACTAGATCGATCTGATGTTGTTTAATTTAAATGTGATGGTTATTTACTTGAAAAATATGTATAGAAAGATTTCTATGCTTTAAGTGTGGGCTTCACAAACATTTTGGTTATTATGAGTTCCTGAATAAGGCTAAGAACAGCTGCTATTTATTACAGATCCACACTGGCATGGTTACATGGCAAACAAATCACAAATACCAGCCATACTTAATACTCCCGACTGGCACTGTGACTGAAAAGTGGGTTTCTGAATTACTCTGGTTGTGCTTAAAATACCCACCCTAATGCTAGTCTGAAATCCCTGTACAAGATTTATGTCTTGCAGAATTATTGTTGGGAGCTTAAGTAGTTGCTCCACTGTGTCTCTCAGTGATTGATGCATTGATTATTATGTCATATGTAATCTTCCAGTTATCTCATAAAGCTCCGAAGAGCACAGGCAGAGCAATGCTTGGGCTTGGGTCCATTTAATGCTGGATTTAATATATTTAGTCTACATACAGCATGTGCTCATGTAGCTTGGTATATCTGTCCACAAGAGGTCATAAGAGACTCAGGTGGCATTGTGAGTTCCATGGATGCAGTAAGTGGAGGATTTTCACTGTGAACACATTAGAAGGAGTACTTCAGGTGACAATGTTTCTAATAGCCACAAGTCATATGATAAAAAAAAATTATGTATAACAACTTTTGACAGTTTGGTCTTTATGAAATGCTTTTAAATTTTACCTCAAGGCACTTAGAGCTAAAAAAAAATGTTAAGATTTTCTGGCAGAATGTGTCACCGAATACTAAATTAAAAACATAAATGTTCTTTTTGTGTTGGTTGGTTGATGTCTGGTTTGATCAGCTTTCCTTGTACAGTGCAAATTTTATGGTTGTGTCAAAAATAGACTTTAAAATGCTATCTAAAGGTAATTTATAATGAAAGATTTGTGTATTAATTTAAGAGCATGGTCTGATTGAAACATTTGAGTTAACAGAATTGCAGTATTTGTAATACTGTAAGTACAGTAGTAGTAGATTTCTTTGGCTGTCCTGTGTGACTTCCAAATGACTCAGGTAGATGATACTCTGCGCTTGAAATGCTTAGCCCTAAAATAGCTCTGCAATGTTCTGAATCAGGAATAACCATTTAGCTGAAGTAAATAGTTACAAAATGGAAATATCCTTAAAGGAATATGAAACATGCTGTGGGTTTGCATAGTTTTTCTCGTTTTACAAGAAGTGCTCAGCTAAATTTAAACTAAAGTGTAAACTTTTTTGTGTGTGTGTGTGTGTGTGTAATGATGCATGAACATAGCATAAAAAATGAGTATAGTATAAAAAAGTGAGTGAGTCAACAAATGTTTCAACAGATGTAATCACAATTTTAAATACTGGCAAAAACAGGTAAGCTTCCAAAACTCAAACATAATAATATACATACTAACATAATTTATGCTGATTTAAGCGGATAGTACAAAAATACTGTATTACAGCAATGGGAAATTAATAATAATCACCTTTAACAAATAATTGTAAATTAAAAGTCTAGATGCAAATTTACTTCATCTTTGTATTAATTAATTAATTAATTAATTTATTTGGCTTTCATTTTGGGTGAAATGTGACCTGCACACATTTTTTTTTTTTTAGAAATTCACAGATAAATTAATGTTTTGTAGTTGTTGCATGTTCAAATTAATGTAGTTTTTGTGCCCCATGCATTACAATGCACAGATTCTAAGTGTGCTCCCCTCCTTTATCCCAGTGGCAAAATAAGGAAATATTTTCTCAGTAAACTTATCTTTAAATGTGTAAATACTGCCACCATCTGCAGCGTCAGAAAAGGAAACCTTTCCTTTATCATAGTCCAGTTCAACTGTGATTATCTGTGGGGGTTTTTTCAGGGTTAGTCGTGTGCAGGGAGAGGTCTGAGCCCAGTAGGATTCCTCATTGTTTGAAATTACCCAGAAACCCTCTTTTGGGTTGAGAAAAACTGCAGTCTTCCTTTTTATTGACTCTCGTGCCACCCCAACGTACCACTCTTTGCTGTATGCCACCTCTACATGCCAGCGCTGCTTTCCTGAATTGAAGCTGTTAGCAGCGAGTACTGCCATGCGGCTCGTGCAGCGTTCAGGGTTATCAGGAAGCTGCTGTTTTTTCCCATAGCTGATGGTGGTGAGTTCATCTTTGATGATCAAGTTAGGGTGTGCCGTGTTTAGATCGAAATTGACAGAGGCTGGAAAGATAACAGAAAGCAAAACCTCCTCTCATGATTTTGCATAGACCTAGCAGTGTAGTGATTACTAATTATTTTAGAAGGAACTGTAATTATTTTACAGAAGGAACTGTAAAAAATCTGTTGTAAATTATAAATGATATTCACACATTTAAACACTGAAACACATCTTAAGATGTCAAGTTTGAATACAGGAAAATGCTAATGAGATTTGAGAGCTATGACACAAAGATATATTCAAAATACTTGAAATATAGTGCAAAAGTTGTATGGACTAGCCCCTGGTCCCTATAGCCTACTTTTGTAAAGAAAGTGGTAGTTTGGGGACAATTATGCTAATCACCTCATTTTATGCTACATGTGAGAAATAAAAAGTCATACTGAGTACATCACGAGTAAATGATGACAGAATTGTCATTTTTGGGTGAACTCGTGTTATAAAGGACTTGCTGTACAATTGTGTACTTACAGTGGTGTACATCTCTTTCCATTCTTTTCCAGACCCCGTGCTTTAATGATCCAAGGTACTGAAGCACATCTATAAGTGCCTTTTTTGGATATTCTGTTTCAGGAGCAGTGTAGCTAGTCCTGTAATAAAATCATTATTTGTTTAATAATTTTTGTGTGAAAAGAAAAAACTAACAGACTGCTTAAACTAAAACTTTAAATTAAAAACCATTGTGTACAGTACCGTTTTAATGCCTCCTTACATTCCTGTAGGTAGAGAAAATGTAAAGGTATTGGCATAATTGTAATCATTTGAAACACTTACTTTCTTTATTTCTTTCTTTCAGATAAGGCCAAATAGGGAACATTACTTAAAGGTTTTGTAAATGTTTTTTTTTTTTAATGAAATGCTGTGCACAAAATTATCCTACTTATCCTAATCACTGAAGTGAAGTGTATGTTTAGTCAATCAGAAGACATTTAATGCTTTACCTGTCAATCATTTTGTGCGTACATATAGCAGTCCATATATGGGCAACCAACAGCTTGGAGATTTTATGATATTATTGGATGCAAAATAGGCTATTCACGATTTCTTACATCAACAACGGCTTAGGGCTGGTCACACAGTGTCCCAGGGGTTTGCTTTTAAAAAAACGTAAGATAAAGCGCTAATGAAAAAGAACAGCTCATGCGCGAGACATAAAAAAAACAGAAAGACGCGACGCATGTTTACATCGAAAAACAGTTTAAAAACAGCACAGTTAAAACGCGTTATGTGTGAACCAGCTGTTACACAGCCAAACATGATAAAGGAATACGAAGACAAAGGAAAATAAGAAGACCAATGAGTTTTTCATCAATGCAGTGAGCTAAGGTAAAGTTGCCAACGGCTAACATGGCTCACAGTACCTTTACGTAAACATAATGTTTTAAAAGCACATTGACCTTTAAAAATGTCAGATCATCCGCTATTATGATGGGTTCTATGTATATGATGATGTCAGAGAGCTCTTCAATGCTCTTATTGACCTCCTCCAGTTTCTCTCTCACCATCGCTGTCTTGCTCCCGCTCTCATTTTGAAGTACAATGAGTCGGGCTGCCTCCTCCTCTCTCAGGATTATATGTAACTTTTCATACTCTTGTTTTACTTCTGCAGCAATTTCGGCAGCTTGTTTCTGTAAATTAGAATAAAAATGAATTGGATTTGATAATCCTGAAGTTTAAGTTGAGGAACTGTATGTGCATATAGTTCACCTGTATGTATGTTTCCAGTTCCACCAAGTTCTCCTTTAATTTTTCAAAGATGGTTAGTTGTTTTTTCAAAGGATTGTACCTATTTGTGAGCTCTTTCTGTGGGGTATGTGTATGGAAAGGGCATTTATATACAAATCCCAGAGAACTTTGACAAGTTGTACAGATACACACTCTAGTTTATATTCACATAGATATCTGCTCAAATCTAACTACAAATCACATAAGACTCATTTTCATACAGGTTAACATATGTTTCCTTACCATTATGTCTGATGCTGCCTCAGCTATCGGGCAGTACTCATGATTTTTGTGACTCCTTGATGACGTGCAAACAATGCAGATAAGTTCTGCATCTTTCCGACAAAAAAGCTTCAATTGCTCGTTGTGTCTTGAGCAACGTTCCACCGATTTTGCCATGAACTGCTCCGGCTTCTTTTTGAAGACATCCGAGGCTAACTTTAGAGCCATATTGACTGGAGGCCTGGATGAGCGCTCTGTACGGCGGCACAGAGGACATTGCCGTGTTCCCATACGGTCCCAGTGTGTCTGAATGCAGGTTTTGCAGAAGCTATGTTTGCAACTCAGTATGACAGGGATATTGAAAACCTCACAGCACACAGGACACTGTAGATCCTCCATTGAGAAAGAACATTCTTGAGCCATCTGTGCTGAATTTGCAAATCCAAAAGTCTTTCTCAGGTGTTTAGAAAACTTGCAAGCTGAAAGTAAAGTGCAGTGCGACTGGGATAGACAGGTTTGACCTGATTTGTAAACTTTTAGACTCCTCTAAAACATGTCAGAAATGTCACTGTGTTACTCTGAGGAGGACATGTATTTTCATGGCTAATTAGCTTGAGACTTTTGTTCATGATGAGTCATGGTGGTTTAATTAAAAAGACATACTTCATCAGAAAACAAGCTGCAAAAATGTCTTTTATTGAATATTTACTAGAAAAAGTCCATTGAATATATATATACAGGACTTCTTTTAATTAAACAATGCGTTCAGTCTCATTTTCAGAAGATTCTGCTGCATAAACATGCAAGTATTGAGAGGGACAAATGTGGAGAGGTAGTTATGACCAGCTGTCAACCAG